TGTTTTGAAATTCAAATGACTAAGCTTCTTGTGTCAATCCCAGCTTAGTTTTGAATCTCCTTTTGCTATCAGGCACACTCCATCCTTTGCAGTTTTCCAATCAACAACATAAATGTTCTTTTTCCTTCTTGCTGTAAGAACCACTTCTTTTGTTGTCTCATGCTTTACATAACAGAAGTCCTTTGTGAACTCCACTGTAGCCCTTGTCACAGAACTGGCTAGCACTTAGCAGGTTGAACTTCAAACCTTTGACATATGAGACATCATCAATGATTATCTGGTTTTTGATCAGCTTCCATTTTTCCTTTTGTCTGGCCTTCCTTGTCATTTCAACCAAAGGTAACTCTAGGTCCATTTACTTTCTGGAACTCTGTTAGGCAAAATCTGTCACTTGTCATGTGCCTGGAGCATCCACTATCAAAAACCCATTCTTGTTCAGAGATAGCTCCAGCACACTCTTCCTGCAGAATTAAAAGGAAGATTTAGGTACCCAAGCAATGTTGGGTCCTAGGGGATCATGGAGTCTTGGCATCTGGTACCACTTTGGTCTCATCAAGTGAAACCTTGATGGGTGGTACCCATTGTCCACCTGGTAGTCATAGTAAAGTGAAGTGTGATTCACCTTGGGCAAAAGCTTGTGAGGTTCATGCTTCCAGTTTACATACTTTTGCATAGCTTTCTTTGTTGAGAAGAAGTCCCATATACTATCAAGAGCAGAGGGATGGTTAATTTTGGGTTTCTGAAGTTGACCAGCCAACCTTTTCTGCCTAAAGTTAACTTTCTCTTGATACTTACCCTTCTGGTGATCATTTCTAGCATGATTATCATGAGGGTGTCTGTTGAAGGTTTGCCTTTGATTATTTTTCTGAAAACCCTTTATGTTGTTAAGGTTTCTGCCAGGTTCATTAATTTTCAAAACTGGTTTTTGTTGAACCTTTATCTTTTTTATTTGCTGGTCTGACTTCCTCATGAATAACCTTGGTGCCAAATACACCAGTATGGCAAATTGGGTTAGAGGTTCGTAGCTCTATGACCTTATCAACCTTAGCAACTTGGGTGCTAGGCCTTTCAGAAGGCTCACCGGATTCTGTTGCAACATATCCAAGATCAAAAATAGGGGAGAGCATTTGATCAACATCAACAGCCTTTAGAGAAGTTTGCATTTTCAGAAGGCTATTGAGTTTGACCTCAAAATGCTGAATTTCTCTTATTCTATCAAGAAGAGAAACATTTTCAGCTTCTAGTTTATCCCTTTCCTTAATTAAGAGATCAAGTTTTACCTCAGTCTCTTTTCTTAAGTCTGAAATTTCAACTTTTAGCTTACTGTTTTCTTCTTTGACTAAAGAAACAGTGGCTTGGATATTTCTAAACTCTTCCCACAATGAATACATTTGGTCATCATTTAAAGTTGTGCCTACCGAAGAAGAACGAGACGTAGAAGAGGAAGTTACCTCATCATCGGATTGGGCCATGATGCAAAGATCTTCTTTCTCAGTATCAAGGCAACAGAAGGCTTTATCGGATTCAGAGTCAAAACTGGATTCAGAGTCATACTTCTTTTCTCCATCCTGTCCTTGTCTCTTGGACACTCTGGGATGTGGACAGTTTGCTTTGAAATGTCCAGGTTGCCTGCAGTTGTAGCAGAGAAGCTCTCCACTACTGTCAGAAGACTTGGTCTTCTGAAATGGCTTTCTGCTGGCAGATGGACTCCTTCCATCTTTGGGTTTCTTCATGAACTTCTTCAACCTTCTAGAAAAAATAGCCATATATTCGTCAGATAATAATACAGAGGGATCAAAATCATTTACCTTAGATGTACTAGCTGTGAGGGCTGTGGTGGTCCTCTCTTCTGGTACATCTTCCTTCTCTTCAATAATCTCAAACTCATGATCTTTGAGATCTTAGATGAGCTTGTCTGTTGGATAAGTCTTCACATCCTTGCTTGCTTGAACAACAACCACCTTCATCTTCCATGCTGAGGGCAGACCTCTCAACACTTTGAGGTTGATCTCCTTGGTGATGAGTTTTTTGCCAAGTTCAGAAATCTCTCCAGAGAGAGTGAGAAGTCTGTCATACATCTTGGAGATGCTTTCATCAGGGAGAAGTTTGAAGTCATCGAACTTCTTGTTGGCTATTGTCAATTTATTGTCCTTCTCTTGCTCATCCCATATTTCCTTGGCAGTTTTGCACTTCTTGATCCTGTTGAAGTATCTATCATCAATGGACTTGTAGAGGATGTCCTTTTCTATGTGGTCTTGGTTGTACTTCCTTCTTTCTTCAGTGGTCCACTCTGATTTGGCTTTGTCAATCATTTGGGCTTTGTGTTATCAATAGCATGTTCAGGATTCACCTTCTGGAAGTTGGTGAATGGCCCTAGGTGAAGTACTTCCCACCTCTCATCGTGAAGAGCACAGAGATGTGCCTTCATCCGGATCCTCCAGTCATCAAACTTAAGATCTCTGAAAACATAAGATTCTTAGAAAGAGTGATCCATAGCAGGAAAATGTAAGGAGGCTAAGAACAAGTGGATCTTTGTTCAACAAGTAACCTAAGAGATTACAAGAACAAGGAGGCTATGATATCACTTGTTGGTCCCGGTTATACAAGGTACAATCTAGAGGGGGGTCAATAGACTATACTGGTTTTTAACTTTTTCAAGCTAAGTACCAGACTTTAATAGAATAGCCTTTTCTGTAAAAGAACAGACTGGCAGCGGATGGTCTTCTGGTAGGGGTTTTGTCCGGTTAGCCTCAAAGAGAAGCAAAGGCAGAAGGCCTTTTGTCAACTCACAAGACTAGTTCTGCTGAACACAGAGACCAAGTCTTTTGGAGTTAATCGATAGAAAGTAAATGCAAGTAATAAAAGCAGTAAGTAAATGACACAAGAGATTTTTATAGTGGTTCAAGGAACAACGTGTTCCTCTAATCCACTGTTCCACTAAGCTTGTAAAACGCAGATTACACAGCTTTAGTCCTAGCACTTAAGAAGCTCTCCACGTCTTCTTCAAGTGTAGATGTCTCCTGGGATGCACTTCCTTTCTTTCTTTAAGACTGGTCCTTTCACTGAGTTTCCTTGAAGTATCCCCACTTCACTACTCCAGTTACTTTGGACGTCCTTCTTTAATAAGAAGATTGCTTTGTAAAAACAGAGGTTTCTCCAACTTGCTTCGTCACAAAAGATGTATATATGAGGTGTTTGAAGTGTTGAAAAACTGGAGGAACTTTTCTCTTGTTGGAATATGAAGATGTGAAAATATTATCTTTCCAACGTAAGACTTTTCTTGTTGAGGAAGATGAAGTTGAAGTCTCAAGAAAGCTTGTTTGTAATGTAGTAGAGAGCAAAAGTTATCCGGTTTATCTTCGTGTTGTATCGTATATACTAGGGTTGTCTTCCCGTTGGAGGAGGGAGGCAACTACAATAAATGCGCGTACTGTAGAGTTGACCGGTAGGACCCAGTAAAGTAGCCGACTTGCTATTTTGGGGACGCGGATATCATTTCATGGTTAATCATCAGCTTTAAATATCCCAATGTTTGAAGCTCGTTAAATGAGCATTTAATGATATGTCCAGTAGCTTTTCCGTTGGGGAGCTCCTAGCCGTTAGGGAATATCCCGTGTGATCAATTGGCTTAGGTAGCTAGAAAAATCCAAGTGTGAGGACTTCTGGTGCGTTTGAACAGAGGGGCAAACAAAGAGGGCCTCGAGCACTTCTGTCAGGATAGGGGCTAACAAAGGACCTGGGGGTCTTCTGTCCAAATGACTATACTAAAGTGATTACACTTAGAAAACAATTCTAATACAAAATTCTAAAGGGGGTACTCTAATATTCTAATTAATCTAGCATCATCAAAAATCTAAATACATTTATTCCTTATAGAAGTGATCCCTGCTCATCAGGCAATATCAAGTAAGTTTCCAACCTAGAATATCAATCAAAGGTCAAACCATGGCAGATTTTTGGTGGAATGCACTGCCAGAGACGTGGCAGAATAAAGACACCGTGACGAAGAAGATTGGTGGACCCTCATGACTGATGAGTCATCATCAGGGTCCAAAGGTTGCGGAGGAGGGGTGGTACTCATCACCCCTGAAGGCTTCAAGACATACCATGCCCTCAGGTACTTATTCAATCTATCCAATAGTGAAGCAGAATATGAGGCCTTACTTTTAGGCCTCAAGATATCGAAGTACTTCAAAGTCAAAATGCTAAAGATCAAGAGTGACTCTAAGTTGGTCATCAAATAACTTAGAGGGGAATATGACGCCAAGGAAGCCCGGATGCAGAAATACGGGAATGTAGCACTGGAACTCATGAAACAATTTGAAGAGTCCGACTTGATATGCGTTCCGCGAGCCCAGAATGTCGAGGCAGACATCCTTTCCAAACTGATGACAGATGCGTCCGAACATCTCACTCGCATAACTCGAATACACGAGCTGGACAAGCCAAGTGTCGAGTTTTAGTTTTCATTCAAAAATGTCCTTTATACATTATTTGCGAAGGTTTCTTAACCAGCCCCCCCCCCCCCCCCAAAAGAGAGGCTACACCTAATTGGTACTCGCAAAAAGACATAGTACAAATTCCAAACTCATCTAAATTCCAGAAGCTCAACTTAGTCTTGCTAAAGACGAGAGCGGGAATAAAACAACCTTTCTCAAGGTTAAACAGCCTTATAAACAAAATCAAATTTCCTCGAAACAGGAAAAGATAACCTTTCTCAAGGTTAAGATTGATTTTACAGGGCTAAAGATGAAACTGAAGGAATTAACTTTGCACCGGAGAGGCTAACAAGCCTCTCTAATCAAGAGGCTAGTCACCAAGGTCAAAGTAACCTAAAGTGAAGTCCACCCAAACTGGCTCAACTGCTAAGATCCTTAGGGTCTAAAATTGGTAAAGTCATCCTTGATAAAGGAGAGACGACCTTGACCGGAAGTTCAAGGCAAAATAAATAAAGGACAAAAGTGATTGAAAACCGACAAACAGGAAGGCCTGGAAGCCATCGTGGAGCTTATGAGCTATACAGGCTCAAAATCCGAGGTCAACTCCCCAGAGGACATAAATAATCCAAGGGAAGAAAACAATTTCGTACAACCCTACTGCTGCAGCACGGTTTTCATCACTGCGATTTCGTTCACCGTTGGATCAGGCTGAAATCTTGACAGTATGTTCGTGACTTTTGGTACTTCAATCTGAATGGTTGGATCGGTGAGACGATGTCTGGAGTGGGAGAAATCGATCTCTCACAGTAACAGCGAAAATTTGTGACAGATCCAAAGCTATGTATTCCAAAAATCAATTTTATATTATCAAACTCGTAATAAAAAATATACTCCCCCCGGTTCTGAAAGATCTTACACTTTCCATTTTTAGCAGTACAAGAAAGATCTTTACACTTCCTTATTTGCCTTATTTGGCAAATAAATCTACACAAAACAGTGCCAAACAGTGCCAAACAGTGTTTATTTCCTTAAAAACTGTGAAGTCAAAGTGTCAAGATCTTTTGGAACCGGAGGGAGTAATTGATTTAGTATCACTCTGATCTCAGGGGCTAGTCATCTTGAATATCAACGTCAAACTACACTTCCCGAGCGACGAGTTGAGCTATGTCATTATTAATACCTCCGTCCCACTAAGATTGGGACAAGAGAAGGTGGCACGATTATTAAGAAAAGTGGGTTTGTGTGGTTGATATTAAATTGATAAAGTAAGAATAAAGTAAAAATGATTTAGAGCCACACAATCTTTACCAAATTTGGTATGAGACCATCTTAGCGGGACTTCCCGAAAAGGTAAAATGGGACAATCTTAGCGGGACGGAGGGAGTATTTTTTATTATATTGAGCAGTGTGCATTTTTTTGACGTTGAAGAACGGACTTATGAACACTCAAATACACCCGACCGAGTACTAACACTCGCACTACTGGGTCACATTATACGGGTGTGATTTATAAGCTCGCGATCTAAATGTCACATAATGTATACTTTCATTCTTGTGTTTTGTATGAATCATGTGTGCTTCTCTATTTAGACACCATATTTCGACCTTGTGGGGCTAGTCATCCCGAATATCAAATTCAAACTACGAACCCCCAAGTGGCGAGTTGAGTCCTAGATATGGGCCACGCTCTACTAAGCACGGGAATCTATATTGAAAATTTGAGGTCATTTACTTAGGCTCAAATCCAATAGCAAACTCCAGAAATTATCATAATTTTATTTAAATGCATAGGTACATCTGGATATAGACTATCATATTGATCTCTCAAGCTTGTCTCGGTTATCTACCAAATGAAGATAATGCCACAGGTAGAACAGACCGGATGCAACAGGCGGTCATTGCAGCTAAATACATCGGTCAAAGGGCTCACCCTTTTGCTTCATTTTGGGGGCATCCGGTGTACTCTTTTTCCCTCACTAGGATTTTTTCCCGCTGGGTTTTTCTTAGTGAGGTTTTTAACGAGCCACCTCCCCATTGTGGACAAAAGGTTATGACCCTCAGCCCCTGGAGGAGTCATTACGAGGCGTTCACTACTCTACTCCTTTCCATCTCACCACGTCCGCCTCAAAGAATGAAGAATTTCAAGAATAAGAAAGAAATAAAATTACTCTCTTTCGTTGAGCCTGGTCAGCTCAAGAGAGTAGGGGGCTCGTGATGGTACCATGGATAATTACCATGGCCCAAGATTGGATTAAAGCAAAACCCATCAACGGGATCAGCCAATCAACGGGATCTGCCCTTCACGAGATTAATATTGATTAGCCATTGGGCCTAACTAGGGATCCAACCCACGAAAGGAACCCACAACTAGGCCAGGTTGGACAGCAGACCTCGAGCCTGAGCGGAGTTGTAGTGAGACCGGGATATTCCTAAGGCTTACGTGGCAGACTATCATTCCAACATAGCTATCTAGCAATGGCTAAGACGACGTTACAAGAGTCCTATTCAAATTAATATGCAATTAATAGCATTTATTGTATCAATTTCATACTAGAATACTAGTTCTCATAGCCTATAAATACTCTTGTACATCTCTTGTAAAGGGAGCCTTTCCAGATGAATAATATTGTTACTACTTTCTTTCCTACGATCAATGAATATTAGATAGATCAAGCTCTTGTTGTTGGAATTATATTCCATTAATGTGTATTTTGAATTTTAAATTTTGGAAGAAATATGATAATAATGTAGGGAATAATGAGTATTGATAATGAATTGTAAATGAATAAATGATAAAGAGTAATGGAGTATGAAGTAATTGATATATGGAGCACTAAAAGGCAAAAATATAAAGTGGACTCGTGTAAGGAATAAATTGTATTTAGATTTTGATGATGCTAAGTTAATTAGGATATTAGAGTACCCCTTTAGAAATATTGTATTAGAATTTTCTTTGTGTAAGTAATATCATAGTCGACTGGCCAGAAACCCTCTTGGAACTCTTGATCAGAGTTGCTACTAGAGCTGCTCATCAAAATCCCTCAACCCTGACATCAAAGAACAAATTGCGAAGACATCAAAAAGGAAGTTGTAAGCATTTCTTCACAATGCCTATCGAACAAGACAAAGGAAGCCAAATGGCACTAAAGATTAAGATAAAAGAGGAACAACTCAGCTAATCTCATCTATCATCTTCTCTATATTGTCTGATTCAACACAAAGACAAAGATATTCGTACTTCAATGCAAATTGAACACAATTGAACATCGTGAGAGATATTATTAGAAACGTTTTATGATGTTCAATCATATTTCATATATTTGTAACGGATCTTCCCCTAAACATATAAAGTCTGGAGAATAGGATTGAAACCCTAAGTACCGTGAGAATGGAATAAGCATCTCAACATTCACACACATCTAGAGAAAAGTAGAGTAGTTGCTATTCATCCTTTGCCCTGTACATTTAATATTATTTTCGTAATGAATCAAAGTTTCTTCTCTTCTCTAATCAATTCTATTCATCATTTGATTGTGAGAAACGTGAAAACAATCATGATATTCAATCGTACGATTCAATACTCAATAGTGAAAGTTTGATAGCGAAAGTTTGATGCACACTGAAAATGTTTTGATGTTCAATTAACAAAATATACAATTTTCATATCAATGTTCATTTTATAAGTCACGTATACACATTTGGTACTAATGTTATGTTCATTTTAAAATGTCAAATAATGCATATTTCAAATATACCATATTACATTCAGTTTCACATATTGAAATTCATAAAAGTTGATTATAGATATAGTTTAAGAAAGTTTTATAAAAGAAAAGTAATGAAAAATGAATTAGAAATTATGAAACATAAATCACGATGTTCAATATTAGATTCCCAATACTCAACAAAATAGATATGATGCTCATTAAAATTTCATTAATACACTCTATCCGTTTGTAATGCGTCTTCATGTTCAAAGTAATGCATACCGTCGTCTATTCAATTTTTGATAATTTATCAAAACGTCACCACATTTTTAGTCTTTAAATGTTAGACCCCGACCCTACTTTTCGTTTGGATTTTGCCTAAGAAGATAAGTTTTTGTTTGAAAAAATATCATTTTATAACCTCTTCAAAATTACGTATCTCTGTCTCGTTTTTTAGTTTGTCTAACGTCAAATAGTTTGTATATTTTAAATTAATTTTTTATGTTTCCTAAGGAATATCAATTGTATAAATTCCTTTTTTATAATTATGGTATCAGCTCGTCGTGTTTCAGACTTCAGTGGAGGAGATAATAATAGAGTACCGTAATTGACTGGGATACCAATTTCTTCTCAAATTTATTACATCATCCTCTCATCTTTACAAACTTAATTTGTAATTATATTATATTCTGAATACTTTTAATATTAGGTACCGCATTTATTCAATAAATATTTCTTTACAAGTTGATTATAGATGTAATTTATAAATGAAAAAAATAAGAAAAAGGAAATAAATTAGAAAATATGAAAAGAGAAGCACAACAATACTAGAATAAGGAGTTTTTACCCGACCGGGTATTTTATTTTCGGTCTCGATCTCGAGACTCGAGTCTTTGAAATGAGGACCGGACCGAACGGTCCCAGTCCCAACGGCTCAATTTTTTTTTTAATTTAAGCAAAGGACCGAACCGCCCAGGACCGGACTAGAACCGGCCTGGTAGACCAGACCGAAACCAGGTCCGTTGAAACCCAGGTCGATTCCGGTCTTCACATTTAATGCCCGGGACCGGCCAGTCCGGGACCGGAACTGGGAATGGGTCCACCCCTATGGTAGACCCCTATAGGGACTGAACACCACATTTGTTAACACATCACTTTTACTTTAAAGATGATTACAATAACCCCATTACATTACTTGTTTGCAAGTATTTTTATGTGTTTATTTGTAACTGTAGCATTTTCCATTACATCCTAGAGTTAATTATCAAAATAGGACTAAAAGTCATTCACTTTTCACAAATAGGACCAAAAAATAAACTATGTTTGCATAGGACTAATTATGTGTACCTTGGACAATTATACCCTTATAGCTATTAAAATGTTTTAGTTCCTAATAAAATAATAAAAAGTAATAAAAATTCGTAAAAAATACTAAAAAAATAAGAAAAACATTTCGATATTAAAAATTTAATTATTTATTTTTCAAAAAATTAAAAAAAAAAAACTCAAAAAAAAATCGCCGCCGCCTCTTCCGCCTCAGCACCACCACCTCCAGTCACCAGGGAAAAAAAATGCCAAGTCATTAGGAATGCCATATTTATGACAGAAAAAATGAAAATGTTGGCATTCGAAAAGAGAAATATGCCATTTTTTTGGCATTTTCAGGAAAAATGGCATTTTCCTGGGAAAATGGCATTTTTTTCATCGGCCGGAGATGGTGGTGCTGGGAGGTAGTACAGGCGGTGGGAAAGGCATCCATATTTTTTTTTACGGAGTTTTACTATTTTTTATTAATTTTTTTAAAAATAAAATTATTCAAAAAAAAGTTTTTGAATTTTTTATTTTATAAAAATTTTATAAATTTTTTAATTATATTTCTACGAATTTTTGAATTTTTTTCGAATTTATTATGAATTAAACATTTAATTATGGCTTTTGACTATTTTTAATTCATATTTAATGGAAGGGTAAGAATGTAATGCAAAAATAGGTATGTTTCCAATAGGACTCATATGATCCTATTTTGGAATAAAAATATAGCAAGTCTTATTTTAGATTTTTACCATAGTTTTAGTCCTATTTGAACTAATTTCTATACATCCTATTGTTTCTAGAACAGCTTAATTATCAGGAAAAAAATCCATGAAAGAAAAAAAGCACATGCATACAGGCATACAGCCGCTAACGAAAAAGAGCACGTGTATATACGGATGGACTCGGGCCGGGTGGCCCGACCCGGAACCGGCCTGGGACCAGTACTGTTCCGGCCCGGCCCAACCCGATGGCCCGGTCAATGACCGGTCCGGGTAGGCCCGACCCGTGGGTTTTCCGGTCCGGGCTCAGGTCACCCAAAACAAGGCCCGACCCGGCCAGGCCCGAGCCCGGTTCGGGCCAAAATTGATTTTTTTTCAATTTTTTTCAATTTTCGGGTTGGGCTGGGTATTTTGGGCCATTTGGGGGTGATTTGGGGGGTTGGGGGTGGGAGGGGGTTAATTAGGAAGAGGGGAAAAAAATTGATAATGGACCCGACCCGGACCCAATGGTTAGCCGGGCCGGTCTCGGGTCCACCACTCCTGAACCGCCGGCCCGCCCGGGCCTAAGCCCAACCCGGACCCGAGTCCACCCCTACGTGTATAAAAACCTATATCTCCAACGCGCATTCAATAGCCATGAACAAACAGATTATTGAGCGGGGGAGGGGGGGTAAACCAGTAGTTGTCATCACACACGGCAGAGAAGAAGTAAAGACACCAAAAGGTCATTGCGAAAGAAATGAGAGCCCATGTCTCACTAGAGCTAATCCATATGCACGAGAACAAAGAAAAGTACTGTGATGCCTCCTCCCATAGGAAATGTCCCAAAAGAAGGAATGAAGGAACAACAAGTCCGTACTTCTTTTCTACATCTATGAAGTCTCCATCAGATAAAAAAACACTGGAATGGAAGAGAAGGAAGCCAACTGCATTCATCCCACCAGCGAATCGGATGCAGAAGGGGGGGGGGGGGGGTGCAGAGCAACTTCCATATGGAACAACAACAACAAAAACACATTAGGCAGAGGCTAGCACACATTACAACAGACAAATATCGAGGAGACGTGATATTTACCATCAGAAGGCAGGCAAGAGCCAGCCTCTTCCTTTGGCACTGCTCACGTAAAACTCAAACTTCTCCTTCGCGTTAGGAATGTCCAGTGCCAGATCATCCAGCCCATCCTTGATCCTCCCATATCCCTTTGTCATCTGATTGATGGTGATCAGACCCTCATCAAAGCACGCCTGTAGCAGATCCAACATCCCATCATTCTTCTTCTCCATAGCCATAACCAAAGTTTTCTTGACCACCTCGTGGTTAAAGAAGGGCATGTCCAGATCGCGTATGCATTGACAAGCCTCGCTAATTACACCGCCGCTTTCAAACTCCTCAAGGAGCTTCATGATCTTGTCCTTAGCGTCCTCCACAGCCCAACCGGTCCCGCCTCCCCAACACCTCAGGATCCTCTCCCCTGCATGGCGTGCAGAGATCAGAGATTGAGCCATGCGGACCGTCTCGCTCCCGCTGCTGTTCAGCTCCAACCTGCCGCTGATCTCTTCCAAATTCAGCGGAGCAAGGACATCATCGACCACCGCCCTCGCCAGGAAAAGGGCCAACTCATTCGATGCGTCTAAGATGTCGAGGGCGGTGTCATCTGCAGATTCCAGAAGCATCACAAAACCGTTGACTATGTCTTCTGTTGAGAAGAGCTCAATGTGAAGAGCGGATAACAGAACGGATGCCATTTCTTTCTCTTTGTTCTTTCTATCCATTGCAAGGGTAACCAGCCTCTTCAGAAAGATTGGGTTGTATTCCGGCACATTGAGATCCTCCAGGCTCCGGATCAATTCCGGGATGTCGTCAGAGAGGAAATATTCATGAATTATGTTGACGAATTGCTCCTTGTATCTCCTCATCCTTTCATAGTCTGCATCATGGACCTTCCCGTCTTCATTTGACAAAGATTTGAGGAAAGAGGAATCAAGCCATGCTTCAGAGATTGCTTGGTGGACAATGGATTGAAACAGTGTTTTTGCAGAAGGTATATCTAGAGCGAGATCGTCTAGACATTCGGATAAACGTGAGAAACCCTTCAGCATTTGGCTTGAACTTATCAAGCCTTCTTCTGCAGCCTCCTTCAGAAGTTTCATGATGATGAACTCCGCAGTGCGGATCTCCATGGCCAAGACTAAAGCTCTCTTCACAACCTCATGGTGGAAAAACGAAACTCCTAGTTGCCGAATGCATCTGCAAGCCTCATTGGTGTCTCCGCTCTCAATGTATTCACGTAAGAGTTCAGCAATCTTTTTCTTCACCTCCTCAACAGTGAGATGAGTACTGCCTCCCCACCGCCTCTCCACAAGTTCGGCATGGTGGGGTGCCAAGAGATAGCTCTTCTCAGCCGTTTGCAACACTTGATATCCCTTGGAGGCTTCCGGAAGCATTTTCCTTGCCCTTGCGATGAAAGCTGGAGGGAGGATGTCATCCACCACAGCCCTAGCTATGAACAGAGCAAGGATATCAACAGCATCTAGTATGTCCACTGCCAGGTCATCGGTAGACTCGAGAAGCATAAAGAATCCTCGGCTTATCTGGGCCGAGCTGATGACATCAGCATAAAGGGCCGAGAGCAAGACAGAAGCCATCTCTTTTTCCTTGTCATGCCTATCCATTGCCATGGAGACAAGACGCTTGATGAAGTAGGGGTGATATTCAACCGAACCTAGTTCTCTCAGATCAGATGCTGCAACATCCACATCACCGGTGCTAAAGTATTCCTCAACAAGAGACACCACTGATTTCTTGTACTCATCCAATGGATCAGAAACAACAGATCCAACAAGCTCATAAGGTTCCTGTGATAATTAATTTAAGTCACCGAAGGACAACATTAGCACACAAAATGGTACGGAAAATGGCAGGGAAACAAAATGTTGAGGAAATTATAGCAAATATTTGCATGGCAAAAAACATGATTGGAAATAAAACATTTTTTCAAACTTGATGAATTTATATTTAAGATTTGTTCAAAACTTCAAATTTCTATTATATAACGACTTAGAAACCCAAAACATATGCAAATTGTTTTAAAACATTAATCATATTCGTTTGCATTCTGCGGAAAAACACCAGCCAATAACATTGCTTAGCATTTCTTCATTCCCCTATGATTTCCTTGGGTTCAAATACACTGCAAATGGAAGCATCTAAAATAGGTAACAAGTGTTCTAAAAAGTGCTAGACAGAGGCAATGCGGAAAAAGTATATAGGTGCTCAAGGGAAGAAGCTTTTTCAGAGCAAAGGTGAACTACATAAATTTTATCGCAATATTGGTCAAAGTGAGAACATAGCCAGGCAACGATAAAATAAAAAGTGAATTTTTAATACAAGAAACACAAGATAGATGGACGAAAAACTAATGAAAATTAGGTATTGGGGTGAGAGAGGGTGGCCAGAATGGGGAAGAAAGAAAAAGAGAAAGAAAAGATACACCTACAAACATGGGCGATTTTTTTATAGAGACAAAACTAACCTCTCCACTATCATAGTTGGGATCATTTCTATCAATGTGAGCCTCCCCACCAGTGTCAAGTAGCTTCCCCCAGGTGCCTTTACCACCACCTCCATCTATTATTCACAACAGATTAATAATACGTTCAGTTACAAATGCAACAAAAAAGGGAGGAAAACAATGTACTCTGACTCAATTATTATGTTGCATCTTGAAACAAAAATACTCCAAAGCTTCAGGGAAACAATTAACTAAAAAGATTTCAATTTCCAGAAATCATCATCATTTTCATTTACCCCAGTGCCGCAAAGGCTCCCACCTACGGTGAGGTGAGGGGGGGTCGGATGTACGCAGTCTTACCCCTATACTAAAGCACAGAGAGACTGTTTCCGGATGACCCATAGTGAAAATCGCGTCCAAAATTGCATGGACTGACTGCTGCTTCATTACAAAGAAGCGCAGACAGTTTACTGAGCCATTTTTCTTTATTCCATCATAATCTCAAGCCAAAAAATAATGAATCTTTGGCTCCATTGCAAATGATGGAAATACCATTTCCAGAAATCATCAACATCCAAGCCTTAATCTCAAAAGAATTTGGGGTCGGCTAACATGAATCGATCTATGATATCGATGCCAAAAAGAGAAGGCGGACAAGAAAAGGAAAAAAAGTAAGATAAAATGAATAAAATAAAGATACATAAATATAAGATAATAATAACACAAGAATATAACCAAGATAAAAGAAAAATAAATAAAAGAACATAAAAAAGCTAGAAGATAAAAATAACATAAGACTATAAAAAGATAAGGAAGATAAACGATAAAAGAAACAAGAGAGGAAAGGTAGACAAGACATCAATCGTCCAGAAATCATCAAGATATTAAAAACATTCCAGACTGAGAAATAACCATTGAAAATCATATCCCTGCACATAAATAGCAAAGCTCAACCAAATTACCACATAATGGGAATATGGAATGGGAAAGAGTAAACCTGACCGTTGCTAAAAAGGTGATACAAGAGAAGGCAATAAACTGCCAGAGAAACCACACAATTCAGATGTGCCACTAAAACTGGATGTTCTTAAAAAATTCATTTTATGTAGCACTAAATCCACTTTTTCTTGAGTCAATGACATGTACATGTATATTACAATATAACTATACGAGAGCACAGGACAAGTAGACAACATTACTGTAAACGAAGAGGACTTCCCACAATTGTTAAGCAAAATCTTCACCCACACTTTAGGTGGTCTGAATGAGTACACGTCTCAAAAAATATTAATTACAGATTACCTATTGACATTCTTAATATGTAGTTGGATAAAGATCATTTCTACAGTAGGAAGAGAAGAGAAAACTCAAAGCTTATGACTTGATCTCTCTTAGAAGAGTTAATTGGCCAATTGCTCAACTATCCTTTTCTCCCTGCTCCAGTTCTCCAATGAAGAAAATTCTGGCATGAGCCCTCTTACAAGAACTGATTGACCAATTACCCTCTTGCACATTTTTTTATGAAATTCATCGTTAAGGCCATTTAGAGCCACATCTAAGCATGATATCCTCATCATAAGAGGAAGCAGCTTGCACAGTCATTTTCAACGACAGTCTACACAAATTATAAAAGTTTCATGTAAGAATCGAATTCTAAGAAAAGGTTAAGTGTCTCGTACGCATGCCCACATGGCTATATTGTAGAATACCAAAACTTTAGATTCTACAACATTACTTAAAAGTTAAGACTGCTAGAACACTGCCTATGTTTCATTAAATTTTTATGAAAGCCATGTCCAAGTAGATTTTAGAAAGCCACTCATTAGATTTTCTATAACTCCGATTGTTTTTTATTAAGATCACTGATCACCATAAAATAATGAAAAATATTCAGACTATAACTTTTCATTACTCTGACGAAGACACGTGAAGGAGAGAGGAAACAACAGGGAATGCCACACCAATTTGTAATGAAGCAGGTTTCCAGGTAAATATATTAACAAGGAAATTATTATTATTCATATTCAAATAAAACCCTGGAGCTACAAATGAAGAAATCAAAATGCATATTCATAATCTGAAATAAGAAAAATACCGTTTGAAATTGATACAAAATTATCGAACAACTATAGTACGGAGTATATAATATGGATAGTGTTTAATGTTTATCACTTTATCCTACTCTCTACCCAAGATTTTTTTAATACTAATGCAAACATCATAAATGATTATCAGTGTTTTACAAATAAATGCTGAGTTCAGCTTATGCCTATCTAGACAAAGATGAGGCAACCAGATAAATAAATAAATGAAAAATGAATGTGAGATTTTTAACATAAATCTCATTGAGAAAGCAAGACACTATATTATATCCGGCTAAAACACAACGTCTCCTGCAACGAGTTTTTCTGCCAATACCTCTAATGAAGAACACGAACGTGTTAGAGTTTTACCTTTCTTAACTTTTATATATTTTCCCGAGTGCGAACGCCTTACGTGTCTGACCGCAATCCCAGCAGTTGACGCCTTACCGCCAACAGGAGCTTTCACGTGATGTTCAGACAGCAATCCAGATGAAGACTTCGGCGAAGAGGAAAGGACCTCCGCATTCTGAGTCGCGATTTTCATAATCTCTCGCTGTTCCTCCGTCAGAAATCCCTCACCTGACGCCATTCGCAGTTGCTCACTGACAAACCCTACACGCGACACATCACACCGTTACATATACGTCTGCGAGAATAAAATCGAATATAAAATCCTCAAAATTCATCTAGCCGCACACACAAGCATTTGAATAAATACAATACCTCTCTCTGCGCAGGAAAAGGTGAAGAGCGCTACCTATTGAGAAGCTGTATGTTCGACGGAGAAGCTCCAAGTAGCTACAAAACACTCCGTCTTTGGCTCGGATCTCGAGCCAAGAGGGAACAGAAACAGAAACGAATTCAGCGATCTTCTTTAGATTAAGACAGACGGCGCACGCTCAGCTGCGCGCTCCTCCAACCTGGATCAACGAAGAAATGCGTGAGAAGAAGCTTCTAGCGATTAGTGTGGAGATTTATTTGTGTATGTAAATGTGTATTTATAGGAGGAGTAATCGTGTGCGGGGATTGAAAGAGGAAACTGTGAAAGAGGGGGAGTGGATGAGAACGAAGAGAATTTATATTGGGAGGCCGGCGGCTGCTGTTACATGTACACGTCAGCGCAGACGAGGTCAACACGTGGCTTTGAGGGTTTTAGGTCCGACTCACAAGCTCACAACCACGGGAGTACCACTTTATTTAGGATAGTTTATTTAGGATACGAGAGAGTATCATTTACTCCCTCCTATCCTAAATAAAGTATCCTAAATAAAGTTCAGTATTTAACTTCACACAAATTAAGAAAATAAATGTCTATAATATAACATTATATTTTCACCCCACCCTCACTAGTACTCCTTACCTTTATCCTACCCCGACCCTACCCTTTTACCGCTTACCACCTGCCCCTACTTCGACCCCACCCCTATCTCGACCCCTCCCCCACCACCTTACCCAACCCCTACCTACCACCCCCACCCCTTACCCCTACCCTCCACCACCCTCACCCCTTACCCTACCCCTTTATCCCCTATCACCTTCCCCTACCTTGCCTGACCTGACCCCAACCCCATCCCTACCCCCACCCTACCCCTTTACCCCTACCCCATGCCCCTACCTCGACCCACCCCTACCCCCAGACGACCACACCCCTTACCCCCACCCCCACCCTACCCCCACTTATACCCCTTACCTCGACCCTACCCTTTTACCCCTACCACCTGCCTCTACCTCGACCCGACATCGACCCCACCCACTCCCATTACCATACCCCGACCCCTACCCCTTTACCCCATATCACATGCCCCTACCTCAACCCAACCCCTACGAGTAGAAGGTTGGTATGGGTGGGAGTAGGGGTGGAGGGTAAGGTCGTGATAAGGGTAGGGGTAGGGAAGGGGTGTGGTCAAGGGTGTGGAATTGGGGGTATGATGAGAGGTGGGGGTACAGAGCGGGGTAGGGTTCATGAATGTTTGTGTGTGCGCATATATCTATAGGGTTATTTTGGACATTTTAATGTTAAACGGTGTTTTAAATTCTTTGAAGTAAACATGAGCTTACAACACTGCTTATTTTATGTGTCGCTTATTAACGCGGGTCTTAATAAGCAATGTTTACTAACCCGTGAAGTAAACGTGTCCTTAGTGTGAACTGTGAAGTTTCCATTATTGTAAAAGGCTTCTTCACATCTGTATTTAGTGTTGCTATTTTTATAATTTATTCCCCTCAAATTGTTTTTCATTTTTTCCTTGTGCAAATTTCTTTTTGTTATTTATAATATTTGGTAAATGGCAATAGGAGTTCAAGACTTGCTCCATTTGTTTTGGAGATTTACCATCCGACTTTATAGAAAATTTGTAAACTTAATAAAATTTTTATGGTGGTGGCGACAGTGGCAATAGGCTACATGGCAACAATTGGTGAGTCTCTGAACAACGACAATAGTTTATTTTCATTCGAGTTATTGAGAGTATTGTGATTTTATTGGATAAAAGACGATTGGATGGTTTAGACTTTAATTTGACCAATTTGGCCATTTAGGCCATTTTTACTTTAAAAGCAGGTGTTTTATATTTAAAATTTCAAGAAACATAAATAAAAAGTGTGGACAATTGAGAAATGACGAAGTCTATATTTTTTTCATTCTTTTATAATTTTACATTTTTTTTAAAGTTTTTTAAAGAAAATCGTCTATACTGATATCATTACAATCAGGATCGTTACATCAATCTCAAAGCGATCAATACTGACTACAACATTCACCTTCCAACTACTAATATTAGTCCTACAATTACACATAGAGACGTTCACCCCTGAAGGAGCAATATGAATCGTTAACCACCAGACGAGCTTAATGCAGCTGATAGAATATTAATTTTAGAGAGAAGTGAGAGCTAGAGAGAGAAAGTGAGCAATTAATATTTCTCAACCCCCTACAACTACCCCCAAGGGGAATATTTATAGGGGAAAATGTGGGTTTGGGTTCCCAAGTCTTAGGAGGCCCGGTACAAAAAAAGGCCTCTATTGGCTGAGTACATGATTTATTTGACTAAGTATAAAACCTATTTTGCCGGAGTCATTTTGGCCGACGGAGGACCCACTTTTGTTCCTGGGCTCCTGGGCTGTATTTTGAGATTTGTTCGGTTTTAAACGCGATAAAGGACTACGTGGGTGCCAACTGTGTTCGTATTTAGTCATCTGAGTATGTGGGCCATAAGGTCTGGGCCCATATACTCTATCAGGAATCCTCCACTCTCTGAGCTGAGATGTAGACGAAGTGAAAGGGAGTAATTTAGAGTTGTTTTGATATTTATGGCTGTTGTGGAACCATGTGTAGTTGATGTCTCGTTTGTTTTCTTCTTTTTCTTATATTTGGCCGTAGCGTGATCCATTGGCTTTCTTGTACAAAACCATTGGTGTTATCTGGTGGCCGGTGATTGTTTATTGTTATGAAGTCGATGTGGATCCCATGCCTTTGTTTCTTGTAAACAATGCAGTGTGATCTCTGTTTTTGCGTTTGGTCAATTTTGAAGTTTTCCCAAAAGTTTGGAGGCCGATATAGTCCCTCAGTCCCCCATTCCTTCATGTCGAAGAGCATGCTAGGTGTGAAGGAGTAAGATAGTGTTTTAGGCTGAAGCGGGGCCCTTATATTCATGAGTCCAACCTCTTGGCCATCCCTGGCCAACGTAACCCTGTGGGATAACCCTTGGACGAAGGTCGCGGGCCAGAGGCTATCATCAATGGGTTCTGTCACGCCCCAGACGCATCTAAGCGCGTGTACAACTGCCGTGTGATTAAGTGATGTCACTCACAAGTCAACCTCACATAATCACACAAGGCGTTCATGAACATCGTTCACACCATACTCAGTAGTAAACATACATAACAACATCACATCATAGATTGAATGAATAGCGGAAAATATTCAATGATCAAACATAAGCCACATATGGCAAAACGTAGGCTCGCAGGCCAAAACAATGTAATATCACAAAAGTATCCATGAACATAGTTTATGATTTAAAATAATAAAGGAAGCACGAACCACGTCTTCCTCTAGATTCTTTCCACCCGTGCAAAGGTGTAGACAACAGGCTCTAGCTTCAACCTGAAATGGTGGCCCCCCCGAAGGGGTCAGTACAAGTACCGAGTGAGTAGCAAGCTAAATGTGGAGTAACTAACGTTTCAAGTATAAGACCCAAACATAGGGTGATACATATACTTATACTTCCTTACCCCAAGTTACAAAATACATATCTCTACTTATATACACTTGGAAATACCCGACCCGTAGGTCATTGTTTAATTGGGAAAAATAATAGTAGTCAATGTCCTTGACTTAAAACCCCAACCCACCCATAGACCTATGAGTGTATAGGACTTCTCCTGTCCAAATCAAATAATCATAAGGACACCGCCCGGTCCTTAATTACTAAATAGTAATCTATGAGTTTTGAGGATACACGCCCGATCCTTGGGTACTCCACCCTAAATAACCGAGTTTTGAGGATGCCGCCCGATCCTTGGGTGCTCCACCCTATATAACCGAGTTTTGAGGATACCGTCCGATCCTTGGATCCTCCACCCTTTTGAGGATACCGCCCATGTAACACTGTCCCCAAATGTATTTACTTTTTCGTAAATCATGTAATAAATCTTGAATATTGATTTATGAGTTTACGTGGTTGTAAATTTTTGGTTATTTCTTTCGCATGAATAATGAACTGCACGTGGGGCCCACACCGGGAGCGGGGACCGTCCGGTAAACCCGGGACCACATATTATATTCATCTTGGTCTAGATAATATTTATATGATGGTATATATATTTTAGTTGGGCCATAGAAAGGGCTTAGGGTTGACCCGTCGGTCAAACGAAGCCCCATTACCGGTATTGGTAATTTACCGGATAACAGTCCGAATTGAAGTTCAGAGACTTCTAAATTAAAGTTGGGGAATCTACAATTATTCTAAAGGTCCGTAGTGATTGAAATAACACGATATATTTTATTTGGCCCGATAAAATAAAATATAATTAAAAGAGTCCGAAAAATACAACTTTCGGGACCAATTGTGCATTTTGGGACACAAAGGGATGACCTCCCACATGAGTGGGGGACACCCTACGTTTTTATGAGCTGGGATAGACAAGGAAAGGTGCTGGTTGACTTGTAAGGGAAGAGGGTGAGGTGATGAGCATCAAAAGTACACCCATGGACCCCATTTCTCCCCACTCATTGTCCAAGCAAGACAAAAGAGCCAACTCCAACCCCCCTCATCCCATTATTTAGGCCAGAGCATCAAAGAAGAGAGATAGAGAGCTCCAAGATCATACTCCATTGTTGTAGCTCAAGCTCAAGCAAGAGTGGTTCAAAAGGGGGAGTTTTAAGAGGGAAAAGGGAGGAAAAACTTGGATAATTAAGGTAATGACCTTATACTAACCTTTCCTCTATTTTTTATTTATCATATGATTTATATATCATATGGAGGACTCCTAGAATAATTCTACACATTTAGAAGTGTAGAATGAGGGGTTGGAAGGTAGTTCTAAGTCCAAGAACGGACTTAGAAGCCAAAACGACTGGTTCACCGGAAAATAACCTTTTAGGGGTTATTTGTGTTGATATGTGTTTTGTAATGATAAAACCATGTTAGGAGCTTGACTAAAGTGGTTCTAGATTTCGCCGGAGTTTCTCCGTAGTTTCACCGAAGTTCGCCGGAGTTCAACTAAGAAGAGTATAATCTTCCTAAAGCTCATTTGAGGTGAGTGGATGGCTTAATGTCTTGTAACTTTTGGGTTAAGCATGAGATTACCTAAGTAGATGTTATGTGTGTTCATACTAATGTTTAAATGAATTAAACATGTGATTAGCCAATTAAAGTGATTAGGCTTGTATGAAGTGAACTATTGAAATATGCATGATTTGTGAAGTGAAAATGCTCATAAAAACATATGTGATATGTTTAGAAATGAAATGTGCATAAAATAGTTATTTATAACTTATTACATATTGTGACTAAGTTTGACACACATTGGATTTGGAATGGCGGG